GCACATAATCGTCAGATTCAACAGGGTTGAAATAAAGGAGAGAATACTAAGGGCAGCCAGAGAGAAAGGTCGGGTCACCCACAAAGAAAAGCCCATCAGACTCACAGCAGATCTCTCAGCAGAAACACTACAAGCCAGAAGAGAGTGGGGGCCAATATTCAACATTCTTAAAGAAAAGAACTTTCAACCCAGAATTTCATATCCAGCCAAACTGAGCTTCAGAAGTGAAGGAAGAATAAAATCCTTTGCGAACAAGCAAGTACTCAGAGATTTTGTCACCACCAGGCCTGCTTTACAAGAGCTCCTAAAAGAGGCACTACACATAGAAAGGATCAATCAGTACCAGCCATTCCAAAATCACACTGAATGCTAAAGAGCTTCAACATAATGAAGAATCTACAACAACTAACAGGCAAAACAGCCACTTAGCATCAAAATGGCAGTATCAAATTCACACATAACAATATTAACCCTAAATGTAAATGGACTAAATGCACCAATCAAAAGACACAGACTGGCAAATTGGATAAAAATCCAAAACCCATCAGTGTGCTGTATCCAGGAAACCCATCTCACATGCAAGGATACACAAAGGCTCAAAATAAAGGGATGGAGGAAGATTTACCAAGCTAATGGAAAGCAAAAAAAAAGCAGGAGTTGCAATTCTCATCTCTGATAAAATAGACTTTAAAGCAACAAAGATCAAAAGAGACAAAGAAGGCCATTACATAATGGTAAAAGGATTGATACAACAAGAAGAGCTAACGATCCTAAACATATATGGACCCAACACAGGAGCACCCAGATACACAAGGCAAGTTCTTAATGACTTAGAAAAGGACTTAGACTCCCACACAATAATAGTGGGAGACTTTAACACTCCACTGTCAATACTAGACAGATCAACCAGACAGAAAATCAACAAGGATATCCAGGGCTTGAACTCAGACCTGGAGCAAGCAAACCTGGTGGACATTTACAGAACTCTCCACCCCAAATCCACAGAATATACATTCTTCTCAGCACCACATCACACCTACTCTAAAATTGACCACATAATTGGAAGTAAAGCACTGCTCAACAAATGCAAAACAACTGAAATCATAACAAACAGCCTCTCAGACCATAGTGCAATCAAGTTAGAACTCAGAATTCAGAAACCGACCCAGAACCGCACAGCTTCATGGAAACTGAAACACTGGCTCTTGAATGTTGACTGGGTAAACAACGAAATGAAGGCAGAAATAAAGAAGTTCTTCGAAACCAATGAGAACGAAGACACAACGTGCCAGAACCTCTGGGACACATTTAAAGCAGTCTCTAGAGGAAAGTATATAGCAATAAGTGCCCATATGAGGAGAATGGAGAGATCCAAAATTGATACCCTATTGTCAAAATTGAAAGAGCTAGAGGAGCAAGATCAAAAAAACTCAAAACCCAGCAGAAGACAAGAAATAACTAAGATCAGAGCTGAGCTGAAGGAGATTGAGACACGAAAAACCCTTCAAAAAATCAATAAATCCAAGAGCTGGTTTTTTGAAAAGATCAACAAAATAGACAGACCACTAGCCAGATTGATTAAAAATAAAAGAGAGAACAACCAAATAGATGCAATAAAAAATGATAAAGGGGAAATCACCACAGATTCCACAGAAATTCAAACCATCATCAGAGAATATTACAAACAACTCTATGCGCATAAACTAGTAAACCTGGAAGAAATGGATAAATTCCTAGACTCCTGTGTCCTCCCAAGCCTAAACCAGGAGGAAGCTGAAACTATGAATAGACCAATAACAAGGTCTGAAGTCAAGGCAGCAATTAAGAGCCTACCTCACAAAAAAAGCCCAGGTCCAGACGGGTTCACAGCCGAATTCTACCAGACACACAAAGAGGAGCTGGTACCATTCCTTCTAAAACTATTTCAAACAATCCAAAAAGAGGGAATACTTCCCAAATCATTCTGATACGAAAACCCAGCAGAGACCCAACAAGAAAAGAAAACTTCAGGCCAATATCCATGATGAACATAGATGCAAAAATCTTCAATAAAATATTGGCAAGCCGATTGCAACAGCAAATCAAAAAACTTATTCATCATGATCAAGTAGGATTCATCCCGGGGATGCAAGGCTGGTTCAACATACGCAAGTCTATCAATGTAATTCACCACATAAACAGAACCAAAATCAAAAACCACATGATTATCTCAATTGACGCAGAGAAGGCATTGGACAAAATTCAACAGCCCTTTATGCTAAAAACCCTCAATAAACTCGGTATCGATGGAACGTATCTCAAAGTAATAAAAGCTATTTACGACAAACCAACAGCCAATATCATACTGAATGGGTAAAAACTGGAAGCATTCCCTTTCAAATCTGGCACTAGACAAGGATGCCCTCTCTCACCACTCCTATTCAATATAGTACTGGAAGTTCTAGCCAGAGCAATCAGGCAAGAAAAAGAAATAAAGGGTATTCAAATAGGAAAGGTGGAAGCCAAATTGTCTCTATTTGCAGACGACATGATAGTATACCTAGAAGACCCCATTGCCTCAGCCCAAAAACTCCTGAAACTGATAAACAACTTCAGCGAAGTCTCAGGATATAAAATCAATGTGCAAAAATCACAAGCATTCGTCTACACCAATAACAGACTTAAAGAAAGCCAAATCAAGAGCGAACTGCCATTCGCAATTGCTACAAAAAGAATAAAATACCTTGGAATACAACTCACAAGGAATGTAAGGGACCTCTTCAAGGAGAACTACAAACCACTGCTCAACGAAATCAGAGAGGACACAAACAGATGGAGAAACATTCCATGTTCATGGTTAGGAAGAATTAATATCGTGAAAATGGCTATACTGCCCAAAGTAATTTACAGAATCAATGCTATCCCCATCAAGCTACCATTGACTTTCTTCACAGAACTGGAAAAAACCACCTTGAACTTCATATGGAACCAAAAGAGAGCCCGCATAGCCAAGTCAATTCTAAGCAAAAAGAACACAGCGGGGGGCATCACACTACCGGATTTCAAACTATACTACAAGGCTACAGTAATCAAAACAGCATGGTACTGGTACCAAAACAGAGATATAGCCCAATGGAACAAAACAGAGGCACCGGAGGCAACACAACATACATACAACTATACAATCTTTGATAAACCTGACAAAAACAAGCAATGGGGCAAGGATTCCCTGTTTAACAAATGGTGTTGGGAAAACTGGCTAGCCATGTGCAGAAAGCAGAAACTGGACCCCTTCCTGACACCTTACACTAAAATTAACTCCAGATGGATTAAAGACTTAAACATAAGACCTGGCACCATAAAAACCCTAGAAGGAAATCTAGGCAAAACTATCCAGGACATAGGAGTAGGCAAGGACTTCATGAACAAAACACCAAAAGCATTGGCAACAAAAGCCAAAATAGACAAATGGGACCTAATGAAACTCCACAGCTTCTGCACGGCAAAAGAAACAGTCACTAGAGTGGATCGGCAACCAACAGAATGGGAAAAAATTTTCGCAGTCTACCCATCTGACAAAGGGCTGATATCCAGAATTTACAAAGAACTCAAGCAGATTTACAGGAAAAAAACAAACAAGCCCATTCAAAAGTGGGCAAAGGATATGAACAGATACTTTACGAAAGAAGACATATATGAGGCCAACAATCATATGAAAAAATGCTCATCGTCACTGGTCATCAGAGAGATGTAAATCAAAACCACATTGAGATACCATCTCACGCCAGTTAGAATGGCGATCATTAAACAATCTGGAGACAACAGATGCTGGAGAGGATGTGGAGAAAAAGGAACACTTTTACACTGTTGGTGGGAGTGTAAATTAGTTCAACCATTGTGGAAGACAGTGTGGCGATTCCTCAAGGCCTTAGAAATAGAAATTCCATTTGACCCAGCAATCCCATTACTGGGTATATATCCAAAAGACTATAAATCGTTCTACTATAAGGACACATGTACACGAATGTTCGTTGCAGCGCTGTTTACAATAGCAAAGACCTGGAATCAACCCAAATGCCCATTGATAATAGACTGGATTGGAAAAATGTGGCACATATACACCATGGAATATTATGCAGCAATCAGAAATGATGAGTTTGTGTCATTTGTAGGGACATGGATGAATCTGGAGAACGTCATCCTCAGCAAACTGACACAAGAACAGAAAATGAAACACCGCATATTCTCACTCATAGGTGGGTGATGAAAAATGAGAACACATGGACACAGAAAGGGGAGTACTAAACACTGGGGTCTATTGGGGGGAAAAGGGGAGGGCCAGTGGGAGGGGGAGGTGGGGAGGGATAGCCTGGGGAGAAATGCCAAATGTGGGTGAAGGGGAGAAGAAAAGCAAAGCACACTGCCATGTGTGTACCTACGCAACTGTCTTGCATGCTCTGCTCATGTACCCCAAAACCTATAATCCAATAAAAAATTAAAAAAAATATATATCTTGATAATTATATGTCTTTTGAGTATTTTGTATGATGAATACAGAGAGTACTTCTGCTACATACAGAACTAAAAGAACTTTCTTGGGAAAAGCATCTTGTGATTAAGCTGTGAGCTGAACTAGCTGTTTTCTTCATGGACAACAGTTTTACTTGAAAGAATGAAAGGCAAACTACACTTATTCAGACATGGATATATAGAAGATCTCTTCAAAATGAGTAAAGTGAACCCATCAGACTTCAAGGAAAACAATTGACAATGTTTGTTGTCAATGATAAAATTCAAGGTTTTAAGTGAAAACTTAAGGGGAGTGTGACTGGAGGTGGGGAAAGATGGAATAAGGAATTGTTTCATTTTATTTTTAGCCTTTCTGTACCTTTTAATTTTTAACCATTTTAGTAAATGGTAAAAATAACCTATTAATAAGATACAGGGATAAACAAAAATGGAGGAAAATGTGGAAAGGAACATACTGCTTTTATCAATCTTGACATGGCAATTTTTCTCACCTTTAAGCATCTTCACAACCCCTGTCAATGTATTCATATCCATATCTTCATCACCTATAACATAAATTCATATATATAGGCATTGATATTCAAAAAACAATTCATGTTTGGCAATTTTTACCATTTCTTCTAGAATTTCTTTACCTGTTGTTTTTACTTCCTCATCTCTAAAACAGAGAAAATAATACTACCTATCTCATAGGCTTTGAGAAAGTATTAAAAGAGACAGAAGAAGTACTTAGACTTATGCCTGACACACTACATAAGCTAAAAAATTATAGCCATTAGTATTTTTATTTTAAAAGTAATAGAAGCAGAGTCTATATCTATTCTTCTAATATAAAAAGAGTTATACTATATATCTTTTCTCATTTGAATATAACACTGATATTTATAACATCTTTTTAAAATATAAAATCTAATTTGTTAAATATCCTATTTAATCTCTACATGTAATATATGATCTGGGGGCTTGTTACAGTGGCCTGGAGAATAGTTTTTTCACGGAAAATAGCCAAACAAATATTCCTAAATATATGGAAAGAAGAAACTCTATTATCAATGTTTCTCCTTTTCACATTTGGTAAGATCCATAATAAGAAGTTAAGGGAGATATAATTTTATTTTTTTTTAAATTGCATTTTAGGTTTTGGGGTACATGTGAAGAACATGCGAGATAGTTGCATAGGTACACACGTGGCAGTGTGATTTGCTGCCTTCCTCCCCTTCACCTATATCTGGCATTAGGGAGATATGATTTTAATTAGCAAACAGTTACAAGTAATAGCAGCATGACTTGATGCTACCCTCTGACCTCTATATATATACAGATACTTAACTGTGTGGAAAGAAAAAATAAATACCAATTGTACAGTAAAAGAATATGTAAATACAATTTACATGAACATACATATAATCTTTGAAACTATAATTATTCTCATAAGACCAAGAGAGTAAGAATCAATAATAAGAATCTTTAGTAATATCTCAAACAGACTCTAGGTAACATTAACTGCTGCAAATAAGCCATGTAATTTCTGACTATTTGCTATGAGACTAAGAGGGTTTTTGAAGTTTCTTAGCCAACTGTGATTTAAAAGGTTTTTTTCTGTAAATTAAGGAAAGTTAATAATTTTTAAAACTTTTAAATTCAAATTTTTGTGGGTACATAGTAGGTATATTTATTTATGAGTTACATGAGATGTTTTGATACAGGAATGCAATGTATAATAATCATATCGTGTAAAATGGAGTATCCAGCCCCTCAAACATTTATCCTTTGTGTTACAAACAATCCAATTATACTCTTCTCGTTATTTTAAAATGTACACTTAAATTATTATTGACAGTAGTCACCATGTTATCCTATCAAATACAAGGTCTTCTTCATTCTTTCTAACTACTTTTTTTGTACCCATTAACCATTCCCACCTCCCCAATATGTTCCCATTACCCTTTCCAGCCTCTGCTAACTATTTTTCTACCCTCCATCTCCATGAATTCAATTATTTTAATTTTTAGATCCCACAAATAAGTGAGAAAATGCAATGTTTGTCTTCCTGTGCCTGGCCTATTTCACTTAGCATAATGACCTCCAGTTCCATTCACAGTGGAAAGGAAATAACAGGAATTTATTATTTTTTTATGGCTGAACAGTACTCCATTGCGTATAAGTACCACATTTCCATTACCCATTCATCTGTTGATGAGCACTTATGTTGCTTTAGGTAAAGTTAATAAGTTTTTAATGTAAAATAATACCTACCCATAATACTTGATTATCTTTAAAGCATGTACTTGCATCACACATAGTTGGATTTAGAATGATAATCCCTGAACCAATTGGCAGTACTTTTCCAGACTGGTCATAGATTGACAATTTATGTTGAGACCACAACAAAGAGGATGCTAAATACTAAGCTAAAGACTTAAATATAGGCAGTGGATATATAATAAGAGAATTGTGGTTATGAGAGAAATGTCTTTTTTTTAGCAATGCCTTTGTTTAATATTTAGCACAACCAACCTGCAAGTAATCAGTGAAAATAAACCAAAACATAAAACAAGAGTAAAGATATTTCTGTAACAATTTCTATAACTGAAATTCTGTGCATCAGGAATTGCAGGGCTCACTGGGGATGGCCTGTTTCTATTCTATGTAGGGTTGGCTGGACTTGCTCAGATGGATGTATTTGGGGTTGAGGGCTTTAATTCACCCTTGTTCACACATCTAGCTTTTCAACGAGGAAAACTGGAATATTGGGGCCCCTATTCTTGTTGTCTTTCATCCTTTAAGACTTCTGTCCCCTTGTGGTCTTAAAATCTCCCAAGCTTTCTCTTTCTCCATGGAATTCTTTACTGCAGCTCAGGGATCCAATAATGAAAGCAGAAGTTGATAGGACTGTTAAGATCTAGATTTGGAAGATCCAGGATGTGACTTCTACCACATTCTATTCGTTAAAAAAAGTCACAATACTAACCCAGATTCAAAGGATAGGGAGATACTCTACCTCTTACAGAGTAAAATGGTAAAATAAAATTATAAAGAATTGGGAAGAATTATTATAGTCTTGAAAATAATCTATCTTGTATAGATAAATAGATGGCAATAAAAAATATGGCAAAGTATTAGCAATTTGTGAATACAGATGTTGGGTAAATAGATGTTCATTATATTATATCTGCAAATTTTCTGCAGGTTTAAAATATTTGAAAATAAAATCTGAGAGGACACTTGGCAGATTCACCTCCAGGTGCTCATGACAGAAAGATTGGGGCATGGCACAGGATCAGAAAGTGCCTTCCACAGTGAAGCCAGACTGGAGGAGAGGAGTAATCACCATCATGTGAAAGACACAAGGCCTGCATGGGCCCTTCTTTCATAAGGCTCAAAAACTGTATGCTGCTAGGGAGAGGCAACAAATTCTGTCATTCTCAAGGCACAAATCACAAAACACACTGAAGGTTGGTGAAGGGGGAAATAGTAAATTGGAAAACTTCCTTCCCCCTGAGAGAGAAGTAGGATACCATCTTGGGGCTAGGATCCTATGCCAATGCCAACTAATACCTCCAACTAACTACTGGAAAAGGAACAAGAAGCTGTCTCCCACACAAGGCCCACTACAATGAAATGCAGTGTTTGGTTGCCAAAGAGAGGAGGCATAGGATAAAAACAAAAATTAAAGGCAGCTAAAGAAAAAGAACATATTACACGCAGAGGAAAAGTATTGAAGCACACTTCTCAACAAAAGCTATAAAAGATAGAATATTATGCAGTTATATCTTTAAAATACTAGAATACAAGGAGAGTGGGGAAGTTGTCAACCCATAATTCTATACAAAGGGAAAAAACCTTTCAAAATGAAGGAAAAATTAAAATCTTTCACCCCTATAGAGAGATCCACATCGCAAGGAACAAAGGCCTCTGGCCATAGACCTGGGGGTACTAAAGTTGCTACTAGCAATATCTATGCAAGTGAGTAATCTTGGAGGTGAATCCTCCAACATCAGCGAAACTTTCAGATGACTGCAACCCTAACCTACATCTTAACTGCAGCCTCATCAGAGATCCTAAGCCAGAGCCACCCCTTATGCCACTCCCATATATTTGATCCACTGAAGCTGTGTGCAAATAAGTGGTTCTCATTTTAAGCTGTTAAGTCCTGGGAGTGATTTGTTATATAACAATAAGTAATTAATACTTATTAAATAGGTAAAATAGGCCATAAAATAAACTTCAACAACTTTAAAAGAATATAAATAATATAGTGTATGATTTCTGACCAGAATAGAATTAAACCAGAAAACAATAACAGAAAAAGATTGCAAGACTACACAAACCTTTGGAAATTCAATAACACACTAAATAATCTATAGGTCAAAGTGTAAATCATAAGAATAATTAGAAAATATTTTGAATTGAATAACAAAAATACAATAAAAAGTAGGATACATTTAAGTAGTGCTGAAATAAAAAGTGGGTAGTATTTATGGTTATACTAGAAAGAAAGCTATCAAGACAGTGACCTAATATTCCACTTGACAAAACCAGAAAATCAACAATATTAATCTAAAGCAAGAACAAGGAAGCAAATAAAGAACAGAAGGTGGTAAAATTGAAAACATAAAACTAAGAGAATAAATCAATGAAACTATAAGCTGGTTTTAATAAATAAATAAAATTGGTAACATGATCAAAAAATAACAGAGAATACACAAATAGCCAACCAATAATCAGGAATAAAAGAAGGGAAAACAACTACAAATCCTGCAGGCAATAAACAGGTAATAAGCAAATATTATGAGTAACTTTTTATCTATAAATGTTCTATCCAAAAAAAAGAACAAATTTCTTGAAACACAAACTATCAAGGATCTCTAAAACAAAATAGGTAGGCCAAATATTTATGTATCTATCTATTAAAGAAATTAAATGAATACTTAAAACCTTACAATCGAGAAAATTCCAGAAGAGGAAGGCCTCAGTGATCAATTCAATTGAACATTTAAGGAAAAAATGGCACCAATTCTATACAAGCTCTTCCAGAAAACAGGAGAGGAAGGGACACTTTCCAATTCTTCCTATGAGAGCAGTATTACTCTGACACTATAATCACATGAAGATAGTATAAGAAAAAAAGGTACGATCTGGCCAAATTCAATGGCTCATGTCTGTAGTCCCAGCTACTCACAAGACTGAGGCAGAAGGATCGCTTGAGTTCTGGAGGTTGAGGCTGCAGTGAGCCAGGATCATGCCACTGCACTCCAACCTGGGCAACAGAGTAAGACAATTGTCCCGAACACAGAAAACGAACAAGCAAAACAAAACAAAAACCCTCCAATCTAAACTTCTTCATGAACTTAGTTGTAAATATCCTCAAAAATATCTACAAATTGAATCAAGCAATATATTTAAGAGATAATATATTATGACCAAATGAGAGTTATCCTAGGAGTACAAAATTCGTTTAACAGGCTGAGGCAGGAGAATTGCCTGAACCCAGGAGGCGGAGGTTGCGGTGAGCCGAGATCGCGCCATTGCACTCCAGCCTGAGTAACAAGAGCGAAACTCCGTCTAAAAAAAAAAAAAAGTCAATCAATGTAATTTACTCTATTAACTAAATAAGGAAAAAAAGCTGAACACTTCAATGGATGCAGATAAAGTGTTTAGGCCAGGTGCGGTGGCTCACGCCTATAATCCCAGCACTTTGGGAGGCCGAGGCGGATGGATCACGAGGTCAAGATGATCGAGACCATCCTGGTCAACAAGGTGAAACCTCGTCTCTACTAAAAATATAAAAATTAGTTGGGCATGCTGCGCGCGCCTGTAGTCCCAGCTACTCGGGAGGTTGAGGCAGGAGAATTGCTTGAATCCAGGAGGCGGAGGTTGTGGTGAGCCGAGATCGCGCCATTGCACTCCAGCCTGGGTAACAACAAGAGTGAAACTCCGTCTCAAAAAAAAAAAAAAAAAAGCGCTTAACAGAATTGATTATCCATAAATGTTAACTCTCAGGAAACTAGGAATTAAATGAAATTCCTTCAACCTTCAATGAAGGGCGTTGAAAAACACATAACATCATACTGAATGGTGAAAAACTGATTTCTTTCCCCCTAAAATTGGGAACAAGGGAAGGATATCTGGTCTCATCACTGCTATTCAACTTTGTGCTGGAGGTCCTAGCCAGTACAATAAGGCAAGGAAAACAAAGGGCATGTGGATTAGAAAAAAAAATAAGCCTTTAATCCTAGCACTTTGGAAGGCTGAGGCGGTGGATCATGAGGTCAGGAGTTCAAGACAAACCTGGCCAAGATGGTGAAACTCTGTCTCTACTAAAAATACAAAAATTAGCTGGGCGTAGTGCCGGGTGCCTGTAATCTCAGCTACTCGGGAGGCTGAGGCAGAGAACTGCTTTAACCCGCAGAAGCCAAGATAGTGCCACTGCATTCCAGCCTGAGTGACAGAGCAAGACTCTCAAAAAAAGAAAAGAAAAAAAATAAAGAAATAAACCAGCCTCTCTTCGTAGAGACATATATATTTTTAAAGAAAATTCTAAAGATTCTCCCAAAAAAGTTAAAACTAGCAGATGAATTTACAGACCAATCTATAAAAATACATGATGTTTTTATATACTAACAATAAATAATTGAAAATTGAAAGATTTTTTGAATTGTTATTTACAGTAGTACCAACAACCATTAAATACTTAAGTGTAAATCAGGCAAAACATGTATAAGATCTGTGTGCTATCAGTACCATAGGAAATGTAAAAAAACCATACACATACTTACAGATCTCTGTGTTAAAAGCTATAAAACACTGCTGAGCAAAATCAAAGATAAATAAATGAAGACATATACCTTGTCATAGATTAGAAGATTCAATATCATTAAATTGTCAATTTTCCCAAATTGATTGATTAAATGCAATGCTAATAGAAATCTTAGCAGAAATTTCTGGTAGAAATTGAGAAGCTGATTCTAAAATTTATATGAAAAAGCAAAAAATAAAAAGCAATCATAAATACAATTGTCTCTCTAGAGGGACAGGGTTAATTAAAAAAAGAAATAAAAAATACAATAGTTAAAACAATTTTGCAAAAAAGAACAAAGTTGGTAGACAGGCAGTATCAACTTCAAGACTTAAGATAAAAATACATTAAAGGCTAAATAAAAACATAAATGACACTGAATAGATCATCCAGAAATAAAGCCACATATATATAAATCAACTGATTTTCTACAGAAGGGAAAAGGCAATTCAATGGTAAAAAATAGTCCATTCAACAAATGGTGCTGATTCAATTGAATATCCATATGTTTTTTAAAAAGAATCTCAACTCATATATTATAACATATCCAAAAAACTAGGTCAAAATAATCATAGACCTAAGTGTAAAATTTTAAACATAAAACTTCTAGAACTGTGCTGCCCTATAGGATAGCCACTAGCTAGCTATATGCAGCTGTTGAACACTTGAAATGTGTATTGTCTGAAGTGAGGTGTGTCATAAGAGTAAAATATCCAACAGATTTCAAAAAACTTAGTTTGAAAAAAGGGAAGTAAAATATTTCATTAATAAGTTTTATACTGATTGCAAGTGTAAATGATAATCCTTAGGATATTTTTATTTAAAATTTATTTTTAAATAATTTTTAACTCTTTCAAATTTTATTAATGTAGCTACAAGAAAACCTAAAATTATATATGAGGGTTGCATTATATGTCTTTTGGACAGCACTGGTCTAGAAGAAAACATAGTAGAAAATATATCTTTGAATTAGTAAATATTTCTTAGATACAGTACAAAAGCACTATCTACAAAAGAAAAGTTTCAAAAATCACTGGTAAGAAAATGAAAAGATAAGTAACAGACTGAGAAGAAATGTTTACAAAGTGTCTATCAAATAAAGAACTTGTATTTAGAATACATAAAAGGTTCTCAAGAGTCAATAATCAGAAAACAATGCAATCAAAAAGTAGGCAAAATATTTGAATGGACGTTTTAGAAAACACAATATGCTGATGGCAATTAAGAACTTGCTGTTCAACATGACTTGTCCATAGGGAAATACAAATTAAAGCCACAATGAAATACCAATACACACATATGATGATAGTAAAAAATATATAGCTTATGCTACCAAGTGCTAGGAAGTCTGCAGAGCAACTGAAATGCCAATATCAGAGACGGTATAGCCACTTTGAAAAAAACAATGGCAGTTTTTTCTAGTCACTACAAACTTATAGTGTAGTCAAACTATAAGTTTGAATGTTTGTAGTGACTATAACCATCAAAAACTGGAGCAATCCAATATCTAATATCAGGAGAAAGGATAAACAAATGTTGATAAACTCATACAATGAAATACTATTTAACAAAAAGAGCAGAGAACTACTGAAACTTTCAACACCACTGATGAATCTCAAAACCTTGTTGAGTAAAGCAGCCATACACAAAAGATTATATATGTAAGATTATACTGTATAATTCAATTTATAGGAAGTTCTGAACAGGCAAAATAATCAATGGTAATAAGAATATGGTAGAAATGTGGTTTGTCTCTTGGGAGGGAATAAGTAATGAAGTGGCAAGGAGCATACAAGAATTCTCTGGAAAGGTGAATTCATCACCCATATCTATGAATATTGTTTTCCTTTATTCTGTAGCTGTGATTTACTTTCAAATGACAGAAAAGCTAAGAGACTTGGAGACTCCATTCCTGACTAGATAGATTATTCAATTCTGTTATTTACTCTTATTTACAACATTTCTCCACAGTCCCCTTGGAAAGTAAAGAATGGTTAATTTCAAAGTGTTTCAGGGTGTGCTATTGCTGTATTTAGAATTATTTTTCTCGCAGTTGTTGCAAATAGTATTCCTTAAATATTTATTGAATAAAAAAGCCCATCATAGTGTAATCTTAATCTGTGGTTTTATTATATATACATTATACTCAATTTTAAAAAATGAAAACAATTGAGGCAAAAATACAGGTGTGCATAGTCATTAAAGGTTTTGAACAGCAGGGTAGCACATTAAAAGCTGTGCTTTAGGGAGAATAATCTGACAGGAGGGTGAACCAGGTACTAATGTCTAAGAAGTTTACTATTGCTTAGCCTGTCAAATAGTAAGTAGCAGGACTTTTGTAATGGTATGAAAATAATTTTTAAAAAAATATTTAGCCTAGGCAATTCAAATAAGTATAGAATTAGAAATTCCCACAGAAAAGTCTCCAAACTCATAACCATAATGAGATATTTTAAAGCCTCACCAGTAGCAGACAGGTGGTCTAGTAGATATTGTTGTTCTTCTTCTGTAAGTTTTATATCCATGTTTTTCAGAATAGCATCCACATTACTAACATCAATCTCCTCTCCTTTAGAAAGCAAGTGTATTGATGGGAATAAGAAAAATATCAAATCACATAACAGTGTGAAGTTTACGTGTTATAAGTCCTACTTGCTGTTTTATATAATGAAAGAAAATCATCCCTTGGTATTTATTGTACTTTAGAACATAAATGCTTAACTTTATAAAGATGAATAAAACATTTTTATCAGCTAATTATTTAATTAATTATGGCAATGCAGACACCAAACTGAATAATTATAATCAATAAAGGCTTTGAAAAGATGAGTTGGAAGGCTTGATTTTACTTGAATTGCCAACTTTACAATCTCTATTTATTAAGTTAAAACAATTATTCAAGGTATGAGTTTCCATGAATACCTATAATTTTGTGATTTTTTTTACTTGCCAAGATTATTAAGAAATCTAAAAGTAATAAATAGCATGCTGTCTCAAAAGGATAATATTACTAAACATTTTTTTCAGATCTAGATGTAGCCAAAAGAAATCTCATGTAATAAGAAATGGCCATATAGGAGAAGATCCAAGATGGCCCCTTAGGAGCAGCTCAGGTGAAAGCACAGAGGGTGAGTGGATGCCGCATTTCCAGACAAATCTTTATTGCACACAGACCAGAAGATTCCCAGGTGGAGGAGCCCCACGGGTCACCAGCGTGGCTGTTTAGGCCAGCATGGCTGTTTTGGCCAGTGCAGCTGTTTTGGCCAGCACGGCTGTTTCGGCCGGGGTGGCTGTTTTGCCAGCGCCCGGCGTGGCAGTTCTCCATACAAAATACACTGGTCTGGTTGCCCTTTTAAGCTGGCAATTGGAGCTCCGAGAAGGCAGATTCACCCATTCATCTGATTAAACAGGGAGCCAGGCCAGGAGATTCCCAGGCAGCACCACTGTTTCAGCTGCTGCAGTGGGTCGGGCCCAGGAAATCACACAGATCCCGGTGCCCTTTCAGCAGGCGCCTGGAACACTTGGGAGACAGTCAACCATTCAACTTAGAAAAAAAAAAAGCCTCTAAGGGAGGGAGCCAGGTGATCAGGCTTGGCAGGTTCCACCCACACAAAAACAAACAAAAAAACAGCAATTGGAAATGCTCGGGGTTGAGAGTTTCACAGCAAGCACAGCTGAACCTGGGACAGCCCAGCTCTGTGGGAGAGGGGCGTCCACCATTACTGAGGCAATCCACCCGTACAGAGGTAGTCTGCCATTGCTGAGGCAGCCTAACGTTGCCAAGGCAACCTGCCATAACAGAGAGAGTCCACCGATACAGAGGTGGGCCACCATTGCCGAGGCAGTTCTAATGATACCCATATAAACAGAACTGCAGGGAAGTTCACATGGCAGCAGGGCGGAGCCCACAGCAGCTCAGCAAAGCCTCTGCAGGCAGACAGTGACTAGGCTGCCTCCTTGTTGGGCAGGGCAGCCCTGAAAAAAGAAAAGGCAGCAGCACAACGGATACTCATGAATAAAGCCCTAATGCCCTGGGACAGAACACCTGGGAGAAAAAAATAGAAGAGATTTATGAGTTCCGCTGCAGCAGTCTTAAATGTACCTACCTAGCAGCTCTGAATGAAAAATGGAGCTCACAACTCAGCACTTGAGCTCCTATAAAGGACAGACTGTCTCCTCAAGCAGCTCCCTGAACCCCGTATATCCAAAGAGTCACCTCACAAAGGACTGATCAACTGACATTTGGCGGGCATCATTCTGGGACAAAGGTAGCAGAAAAAGAAACTGGTAGAACCCTTACTGTTCTGCAGCTGCTGCAGGTGATCCCCAGGCAATCAGGGCCTGGAGTGGACCTCAGCAGTCCTACAGCAGAGGGGCCAGATGTTAGAAGGAAAACTAAGAAACAGAAATAACTTCATTATCAACAATCTAGACGTCCACTCAGAGACCCAATCTGAAAATCAGCAACTACACAAACGACAGGTAGAAAAATCCACAAAGATGGGAAGAAACCAGTGAAAAAAGGAGGAAAACACCCGAAACCAGAACACCTCTCCTCCTACAAGGGATCACAACTCCTCACCAGCAAGGGAACAAAGCTGGATGGAGAATGAGTGTGATGAAATGACAGAATCAGATTTCAGAAGGTGGGTAATGAGAAACTTCTGTGAGCTAAAAGAACATGTTCTAACTCAATACAAAGAAACTAAGAACCTTGAAAAGAGATTTGATGAAATGATAACAAGAATGGACAACTCAGAGAGGAATATGAGTGAATTGATGGAGGTGAAAAACACAACACGAGAACTTCACGAAGCATGCACAAGTTTCAACAGCCGAATTGACCAAGCAGAAGAAACGATATCAGAGGTCAAAGATCAACTCATGAAATAAAACAAGATTAGAGAAAAAAGCACAAAAAGGAATGAACAAAATCTCCAAGAAATGTGGGATTGTGTAAAGAGACCTAATCTACGTTTGATAGGTGTACCTGAATGTGACAAAGAGAATGAATCCAAGCTGGAAAACACTCTTCAGGATATTATCCAGGAAAACATCCCCAATCTAGCAAGGCATGCTAATATTCAAGTCCAGGAAATACAGAGAACACCACAGATATTCCTCATGAAGAACAACCCCAAGGCACTTAATCATCAGATTCACCAGGGTTGAAATGAAGGAGAAAATACTAAGGGCAGCCAGAGAGAAAGGTCGGGTTACCCACAAAGGGAAGCTCATCAGACTCACAGCAGATCTCTCGGCAGAAACCCTACAAGCCAGAAGAGAGTGGGGGCAATATTCAACATCCTCAAAGAAAAGAACTTTCAACCCAGAATTTCATATCCAGCCAAACTGAGCTTCATAAGTGAAGGAAAAATAAAATCCTTCGTGAACAAGCAAGTACTCAAAGATTTTGTCACCACCACGCCTGCTTTACAAGAGCTCCTGAAAGAGGAACTGCACATAGAAAGGAACAACCAGTACCAGCCACTCCAACAACATACCAAATGGGAAGAGCATCAACACAATGAAGAACCTGTATCAACTAATGGGCAAAACAGCCACCGAGCATCAAAATGGCAGTATCAAATTCACAAATAACAATATTATCCCTAAATGTAAATGGGCTAAATGGAACAATCAAAAGACACAAATGGGCAAATTGGATAAAAAGCCAAAACCCATCGGTGTGCTGTATCCAGGAAACCCATCTCACATGCACGGATACACAAAGGCTCAAAATAAAGGGATAAAGGAAGATTTCCCAAGCAAATGGAGAGCAAAAAAAAGCAGGAGTTGCAATTCTTGTCTCTGATAAAATAGACTTTAAAGCAAAAAAGATCAAAAGAGACAAAGAAGGACATTACATAATGGTAAAAGGATCAATGCAACAAGAAGAGCTAATGATCCTAAATATATACAGACCCAATACAGGAGCACCCAGATACATAAGACAGGTTCTTAATGACTTACAAAGAGACTTAGACTCCCACACAATAATAGTGGGAGACTTTAACACCCAGTTGTCAATATTAGACAGATCAACCAGACAGAAAATCAACAAGGATATCCAGGGCTTGAACTCAGACCTGGAACAAGAAAACCTGATAGACATTTACAGAACTCTCCACCCCAAATCCACAGAATATACATTCTTCTCAGCACCACATCACACCTACTCTAAAACTGACCACATACCTGGAAGTAAATTACTCCTCACCAAATGCAAAAGAACAGAAATCATAACAAACAGTCTCTCAGACCACAGTGCAATCAAACTAGAACTCAGAATTCAGAAACTAACTCAGAACCGCACAGCTTCATGGAAACTGAACAACTGGTTCTTGAATGTTGACTGGATAAACAATGAAATAAAGGTAGAAATAAAGAAGTTCTTCAAAACCAACGAGAACAAAGACACAACATACCAGAATCTCTGGGACACATTTAAAGCAGTCTCTAGAGGAAAATATATAGCAATAAGTACCCACATGAGAAGAAAGGAGAGATCCAAAATTGACACACTATCGTCAAAATTGAAAGAACTAGAGAAGCAAGATCCAAAAAACTCAAAACCTAGCAGAAGACAAGAAATAACTAAGATCAGAGCAGAAATGAAGGAGATAGAGACATGAAAAACCTTTCAAAAAATCAATAAATCCAGGAGCTGGTTTTTTGAAAAGATCAACAAAATAGACAGACCAAGAGCCAGACTAATAAAAAAGAAAAGAGAGGATAACTAAATACATGCAATAAAAAATGATAAAGGTGAAATCACCACAGATCCCATAGAAATTCAAACCATCATCAGAGAATATTACAAACAACTCTATGCACATAAACTAGTAAACCTGCAAGAAATGGATAAATTCCTGGACACTTGAGTCCTCTGAAGCCTAAACCAGGAAGAAGTTGAAACCATGAATAGACAAATAACAAGATCTGAAGTTGAGACAGCAATTAAGAGCCTACCACACACAAAAAAGCCCAGGTCCAGATGGGTTCACAGCCAAATTCTACCAGACACACAAAGAGGAACTGTTACCATTCCTTCTGAAACTATTCCAAATAATCCAAAAAGTGGGAATCCTTCCCAAATCATTTTATGGGACCAACATCATCCTGATACCAAAACCCAGCAGAGACTCAACAAGAAAAGAAAACTTCAGGCCAATATCCATGATGAACATAGACGCAAAAATCTTCAATAAAATACTGGAAAGCCGATTGCAACAGCACATCAAAAAGCTTACCCACCGTGATCAAGTAGGATTCATCCCAAGGATGCAACGCTGGTTCAACATATGCAAGTCTATAAACATAATTCACCACATAAACAGAACCAAAGACAAAAACCACATGATTATCTCAATAGATGCAGAGAAGGCCTTTGACAATATTCAACAGCCCTTTATGCTAAAAACCCTCAATAAACTCGGTATTGACGGAACATATCTCAAAATAATAAAAGCTATTTACGACAAACCAACAGCCAATATCATACTGAAAGGGCAAAAACAGGAAGCATTCCCTTTGAAATCTGGCACTAGACAAGGATGCCCTCTCTCACCACTCCTATTCAATATAGTACTGGAAGTTCTAGCTAGAGCAATCAGGCGGAGGAAGCCAAATTGTCTCTATTTGCAGATAACATGATAGTATATCTAGAAGACCCCATCATCTCAGCCCAAAATCTCCTGAAACTGATAAGCAAATTCAGCAAAGTCTCAGGATACAAAATCAATGTGCAAAAATCACAAGTATTCCTATACACCAATAACAGCCTTAAAGAGAGCCAAATCAAGAACAAACTGCCATTCAGAATTTCTACAAAGAGAATAAAATACCTAGGAATACAACTAACAAGGAACGTAAAGGACCTTTTCAAGGAGAACTACAAACCACTGCTCAACAAATAAGAGAGGACACAAACAGATGGAGAAACATTCCATGTTCATGGTTAGGAAGAATCAATATCGTGAAAATGGCCAAACTGCCCAAAGTAATTTACAGATTCAATGCTATCCCCATCAAGCTACCAATGACCTTCTTCACAGAACTAGAAAAAACCACCTTACACTTCATATGGAACCAAAAGAGAGCCCACATAGCCAAGTCAACTCTAAGTAAAAAGAACACAGTGGGAGGCATCACACTACTGGACTTCAAACTATACTACCAGGCTACAGTAATCAAACAGCATGGTACTGGTACCAAAACGGAGATATAGACCAATGGAACAAAACAGAGGCATCGAAAGCAACACAACATATCTACAACCATACAATCTTTGATAAACCTGACAAAAACAAGCAATGGGGAAAGGATTCCCTGTTTAATAAATGGTGTTGGGAAAACTGGCTAGCTATGTGCAGAAAGCAGAAACTGGACCCCTTCCTGACACCTTACACTAAAATTAACCCCAGATGGATTAAAGAGTTAAACATAAGACCTAACACCATAAAAACCCTAGAAGAAAATCTAGGCAAAACCATTCAGGACATAGGAGTAGGCGAGGACTTCATGAACAAAACACCAAAAGCATTGGCAACAAAAGCCAAAACAGACAAATGGGTCCTAATCAAACTCCACAGCTTCTGCACAGCAAAAGAAACAGTCATTAGAGTGAGTCAGCAACCAATAGAACGGGAAAAAATTTTTGCAGTTTACCCATCTGACAAAGGGCTGATATCCAGAATTTACAAAGAACTAAAACAGATTTACAAGAACAAAACAAACCCATTCAAAAGTGGGCGAAGGATATGAACAGACACTTTACCAAAGAAGACATACATGAGGCCAACAAACATATGAAAAAATGCTCATCATCACTGGTCATTAGAGAAATGCAAATCAAAACTACATTGAGATGCCATCTCATGCAGGTTAGAATGTCGATCATTAAAAAATCTAGAGACAACAGATGCTGGAGAGGCTGTGGAGAAATAGGAACACTTTTACACTGTTGGTGGGAGTGTAAATTAGTTCAACCATTGTGGAAGACTATGTGGCAATTCCTCAAGGACCTAGAAATAGAAATTCCATTTGACCCAGCAATCCCATTACTGGGTATATATCCAAAGGACTATAAATCATTCTACTATAAGGACACATGCACACGGATGTTCATTGCAGCACTGTTTACAATAGCAAAGTCCTGGAATCAACCCAAATGCCCATCGATGATAGACTGGACTGGGAAAATGTGGCACATATACACCATCGAATATTATGCAGCAATCAAAAATGATGAGTTTGTGTCCTTTGTAGGGACATGGTTGAACCTGGAGAACATCATTCTCAGCAAACTGACACAAGAACAGAAAACACAATACCGCATGTTCTCACTCATAGGCAGGTGTTGAACAATGAGAACAGATGGACACAGGGAGGGGAGCACTACACACTGGGGTCTGTTGAGGGGAATAGGGGAGGGACAGTGGGGGGTGGGGAGTTGGGGAGAGATAGCATGGGGAGAAATGCCAGATATATGTGAAGCGGAGGAAGGCAGCAGAACACACTGCCATGTGTGTACCTATACAACTATCTTGCACGTTCTTCACATGTACCCCAAAATTTAAAATGCAATTTAAAAAAAGAGAAATGGCCATATAATAACAAAATCACACAGAAGGGAAACTATTAAACTTATTGTCTAAGAACAAAATGGGTATTTTAAAATAAATGTGTTGTCTCTATGTTTACCAAATGAACTATATTTTTAAAAAATATATACAAAAACAATGTTCCCACAGCTAGTACTATGTTTTAGAAGTTCATTTTACTTATTCATATTTTTAGCTCTTAATATAGTGTCTAGCACTGCCTAGTTATTCAGTAAATATTTGTTTAATTAACAAATTTTAACTCACCTATGAGTGCCCTATCTTTTATTCTGTTTTTCTTTTTCACTTCATTATCAGCTGCAAAATAAAAAACAAATTATGTCACAATTATAGTAAGTTTTATCTAATCATTAATGTTAAACATAGCAGTTCTGGGATGTTGTATATATTGACCTCATTTAATTAAAAAAAATATAACCTCATTTAATTAAAAATAAGTATAAGGCATAGAAGAAAAGAAGGGTATCAAGAATAATTAATGAAGATTCTTGTTTCTGAGACTTAATGAATGAGTCACAAAATAAGGCACCTATGAAATATGTAATAGACCAAAAAACAAAAAAATAGTATTTAAGTTTTGTAATATCTTTAGAACTCAACATAAGTTCCTTTTTAGATGATGAAGGGAAGATGCTCCATCTGTTCTATTCATTCTGCTACTGTAAGGAGATAGGGATATGGTACTTTTTCTTCTTATTATCTAACAAAATAAACTTTTTTGAGTAATCCATGTTAGTGAGCTTCCCCTTCTAATTTGTGTATACTAACCAACAAAAATATGCTAATAGTCCATTAGGAGCCCTAGAAAGCAGCAAGAGACATAGACTGTTTTGAGAAGCCATAGCAAGGAGAAAGCAGAAAAGAAATGCCAGTACTGATATGTAAGAAGAAAGGTCTCTGACAGCCACCAAATTTTCCACAGCTGCAGTATGGCATGCAAGAATAGCAAAACATTTTCCATGACACAGTGAAGGGAACAGAGGCTTTAAGAGTCAAAAGCCCCAAAGCAGCCTGGCAGTCAAGCTAAAAGTGCAAAGTAACCAGTTCAAGTGCATGTTGCAAGATAAAATGCCAGGTAAAAATTCAGGTCATTCAGTCAGTGCCAACATGAAAGGACAAATGAGGATCAGAACAGACACATCATCATAAAGATATATGAAGAGAGGCACCTCCCTTTCCCCATGCACCTCCACACAAATCTCCCAGAACATAGATGCAACTCTCCGGAGAAGGGAGAAATGAGAACATCTTGATTTAACTCATAAAAATGCTGATTGGAACATAATTTATTCCAGTGGTTAAGATTACTCAGAACACAAACTCACGTGTGCAAAAACTTTAACATCCTTAATTCGACCAAGATAAGATAAAAGATAAAAAGTCAAGATTTTGTACTAATGAGTTCAATTGTAATACTAGACTGCAGGCTATATTAAGGAAGTTTCTTATTTATCTTCATATTTTTAATGCCTAGTACAGTGGCTACCCACAATAAACACACTATAAATATTTGTTGATTAAAAGAAAGAATAAACTGATTAATTACATAGCAGATCTTTAATAAATAACTATTCAAAAGCATTATCAATTCCCTGATCACTATATAGAGAATAGATTTTCATAAACAACATTAAATACAGTGTGAATGCCAACTCAAATGTTTACATTAGTGGTTGTTTTTTTTTTTTTAATTTTTTATTGCATTTTAGGTTTGGGGGTACATGTGCAGAACATGCAAGACAGTTGCATAGGTACACACATGGCAGTGTGTTTTGCTTCCTTTCTCCCCTTTACCCACATTTGGCATTTCTCCCCAGGCTATCCCTCCCCACCTCCCCTCCCACTGGCCCTCTCCTTTTCCCCCCAATAGACCCCAGTGTTTAGTACTCTTCTCTCTGTGTCCATGTGTTCTCATTTTTCATCACCCGCCTATGAGTGAGAATATGTGGTGTTTCATTTTCTGTTCTTGTGTCAGTTTGCTGAGGATGATGTTCTCCAGATTCATCCATGTCTCTACAAATGACACAAACTCATCATTTCTGATTGCTGCATAATATTCCATGGTGTATATGTGCCACATTTTTCCAATCCAGTCTATCATCAATGGGCATTTGGGTTGATTCCAAGTCTTTGCTATTGTAAACAGTGCTGCAATGAACATTCGTGTGCATGTGTCCTTATAGTAGAACGACTTATAGTCTTTTGGATATATACCCAGTAATAAGATTGCTGGGTCAAATGGAATTTCTATTTCTAAGGCCTTGAGGAATTGCCACACTGTCTTCCACAGTGGTTGAACTAATTTACACTCCCACCAACAGTGTAAAAGTGTTCCTTTTTCTCCACATCCCCTCCAGCATCTGTTGTCTCCAGATTTTTTTTTTAAATTTTTTATTGGATTATACGTTTTGGGGTACATGAGCAGAGCATGCAAGACAGTTGCGTAGGTACACACATGGCAGTGTGCTTTGCTTTTCTTCTCCCCTTCACCCACATTTGGCATTTCTCCCCAGGCTATCCCTCCCCACCTCCCCCTCCCACTGGCCCTCCCCTTTTCACCCCAATAGACCCCAGTGTTTAGTACTCCCCTTTCTGTGTCCATGTGTTCTCATTTTTCATCACCCACCTATGAGTGAGAATATGCGGTGTTTCATTTTCTGTTCTTGTGTCAGTTTGCTGAGGATGATGTTCTCCAGATTCATCCATGTCCCTACAAACGACACAAACTCATCCAGATTTTTTAATGATCGCCATTCTAACTGGCGTGAGATGGTATCTCAATGTAGTTTTGATTTGCATCTCTCTGATGACCAGTGACGATGAGCATTTTTTCATATGATTGTTGGCCTCATATATGTCTTCTTTCGTAAAGTGTCTGTTCATATCCTTTGCCCACTTTTGAATGGGCTTGTTTTTTTCCTGTAAATCTGTTTGAGTTCTTTGTAAATTCTGGATATCAGCCCTTTGTCAGATGGGTAAACTGCAAAAATTTTTTCCCATTCTGTTGGTTGCCGATTCACTCTAGTGACTGTTTCTTCTGCTGTGCAGAAGCTGCGGAGTTTCATTAGGTCCCATTTGTCTATTTTGGCTTTTGTTGCCAATGCTTTTGGTGTTTTGTTCATGAAGTCCTTGCCTACTCCTATGTCCTGGATAGTTTTGCCTAGATTTCCTTCTAGGGTTTTTATGGTGCCATGTCTTATGTTTAAGTCTTTAATCCATCTGGAGTTAATTTTAGTGTAAGGTGCCAGGAAGGGGTCCAGTTTCTGCTTTCTGCACATGGCTAGCCAGTTTTCCCAACACCATTTATTAAACAGGGAGTCCTTTCCCCATTGCTTGTTTTTGACAGGTTTATCAAAGATTGTATGGTTGTAGATATGTTGTGTTGCCTCTGTTGCCTCTGTTCTGTTCCATTGGTCTATATCTCTGTTTTGGTACCAGTACCATGCTGTTTTGATTACTGTAGCCTTGTAGTATAGTTTGAAATCCAGTCGTGTGATGCCCCCCGCTGTGTTCTTTTTGCTTAGAATTGACTTGTCTATGCGGGCTCTCTTTTGGTTCCATATGAAGTTCGTGGTGGTTTTCTCCAGTTCTGTGAAGAAAGTCAATGATAGCTTGATGGGTATAGCATTGATTGTGTAAATTACTTTGGGCAGTATAGCCATTTTTATGATATTAATTCTTCCTAACCATGAACATGAAATGTTTCTCCATCTGTTTGTGTCCTCTCTGATTTTGTTGAGCAGTGGTTTGTAGTTCTCCTTGAAGAGGTCCCTTACATTCCTTGTGAGTTGTATTCCAAGGTATTGTATTCTTTTTGTAGCAATTGTGAATGGCAGTTCGTTCTTGATTTGGCTTTCTTTAAGTCTGTTATTGGTGTAGAGGAAGGCTTGTGATTTTTGCACATTGATTTTATATCCTGAGACTTTGCTGAAGTTGCTTATCAGTTTCAGGAGTTTTTGGGCTGAGGCGATGGGGTCTTCTAGGTATACTATCATGTCGTCTGCAAATAGAGACAATTTGGCTTCCTCCTTTCATATTTGAATACCCTTTATTTCTTTTTCTTGCCTGATTGCTATGGCTAGAACTTCCAGTACTATATTGAATAGGAGTGGTGAAAGAGGGCATCCTTGTCTAGTGCCAGATTTCAAAGGGAATGCTTCCAGTTTTTGCCCATTCAGTATGATATTGGCTGTTGGTTTGTCATAAATAGCTTTTATTACTTTGAGATACGTTCCATCGATACCGAGTTTATTGAGGGTTTTTAGCATAAAGGGCTGTTGAATTTTGTCAAATGCCTTCTCTGCATCAATTGAGATGATCATGTGGTTTTTGTTTATGGTTCTGTTTATGTGGTGAATTACGTTTATAGACTTGCGTATGTTGAACCAGCCTTGCATCCCCGGGATGAATCCTACTTGATCATGATGAATAAGTTTCTTGATTTGCTTTGCAATCGGCTTGCCAATATTTTATTGAAGATTTTTGCATCTATGTTCATCATGGATATTGGCCTGAAGTTTTCTTTTCTTGTTGGGTCTCTGCCGGGTTTTGGTATCAGGATGATATTGGTCTCATAGAATGATTTGGGAAGGATTCCTTCTTTTTGGATTATTTGGAATAGTTTCAGAAGGAATGGTACCAGCTCCTCTGTGTGTCTGGTAGAATTCGGCTGTGAACCCGTCTGGACCTGGGCTTTTTTTGTGTGGTAGGCTCTTAATTGCTGCCTTGACTTCTGCCCTTGTTATTGGTCTATTCATAGTTTCAGCTTCCTCCTGGTTTAGGCTTGGGAGGACACAGGTGTCCAGGAATTTATCCATTTCTTCCAGGTTTGCTAGCTTATGTGCGTAGAGTTGTTTGTAATATTCTCTGATGATGGTTTGAATTTCTGTGGAATCTGTGGTGATTTCCCCTTTATCATTTTTTATTGCATCTATTTGGTTGTTCTCTCTTTTCTTTTTAATCAATCTAGCTAGTGGTCTGTCTATTTTGTTGATCTTTTCAAAAAACCAGCTCTTGGATTTATTGATTTTTTGGAGGGTTTTTCGTGTCTCAGTCTCCTTCAGTTCAGCTCTGATCTTAGTTATTTCTTGTCTTCTGCTGGGTTTTGAGTTTTTTTTATCTTGCTCCTCTAGCTCTTTCAATTTTGACGATAGGGTGTCAATTTTGGATCTCTCCATTCTTCTCATATGGGCACTTATTGCTATATACTTTCCTCTAGAGACTGCTTTAAATGTGTCCCAGAGATTCTGGCATGTTGTGTCTTCGTTCTCATTGGTTTCAAAGAACTTCTTTATTTC